AGGATCGCAACTTCAAGCCCAGTCTGGGAAACTCAGCAAAATTCTGTCTCAAAAAATGAACATACAGGGCTGGGAAGCAAAGGCCGCGCGTTCAGTGCCCAGCTCCATAAATAAAGTTCTAGCACTATTTATACCCGCTCTTTATTTATCTACAGTTTAGTGAGTCAGAAAGCGACTGACTCTGAGAAGCCAGTCAGGCGGCAGTGACTCGGGCTCCTGCCAGCCTTGCCCCAGGCAGGCGCTGTCCTTCCGCCACGGCTCCCACCCAGGCCAGGTGCCAGGGATCTCGGGCAGAGCCCCCCTCCCCCGAGAATGCAGGGTCACCATGGGGTCAGGGCCTGATCCTGGGCAGCCATCTGTCCCCCACCCCACCCCCGTAGAGAGAAACGCTGAGGGCTGAAGGCCCTGCCTGGCCCCCATCCAGGGTGCAGCTCAGGCACCTTGGAGATGGGGGAGTGGGCCAGGGCAGCAAGGTGGAAACTCTCCACCCCCAACTCAAGGCGACTCTCCTGCCTCAGCCTTTCCCGTGCCGGAGTGACAGGCAGGAGCCAGTCTGCCTCCCAGCGTGACAGCCCCAGCTCACTCTGAGCCCGGAATGGAAGGTGACTGCCAAGTGGGGTCAGGAACAGCAGGTGTGCTGAGGGTTGGCCTCAAGTAGGACTTAGTCTCAAAGCTGACTGGGTCTCAGGGACACATGGGACCTCAGATGTCGCAGGAGCAGGAGCACAGCCAGCATGTGTCAGTGGGGCAGTCTCTGATCTGGTACAGTTATCTAAACAAAGAGCATTTTACATCCCATACAAGATTCATTTCCTTTGAAGACACTGCAATTACCCTGTCTAGCACGATCCGAAGCCGGCAGGCAGGCGTGGGGGTCACCTGAGGAAAAAACCTAGCCCTCAGGAGGCTGAGGCAGGAGGGTCAAACTGTGAGGCCAGCCTAGCTACATAAGGTGGCCTTGTCTCAAAAAAAAAGGGAGAGAGAGAAAAGGCCAGGCATGGTGGCGTAGGCCTATAATCCCAGTGCTCAGGAGGGAGGCTGAGGCAAGAGGATTGCTGCAAGTTTCAGGCCAGTGTGGACCACAAAATGAGCTCAAGACCAGCCTGAGTTGCAAAACAAGACCCTCTCTCAAAAAGACAAAAGAACAACAAAAAACCCAAAAATGTAGGAATTCAGCTGGGCATGGTGGTGCACATATGTAATCCACAGCACTTGGTCTTGGCAGGCTGAGGCAGGAGGTTCATTGCCAGTTGAAGCATGATGGCCTGAACTATATGGTGAGACCTTAAAAAATAATAATAATAATTCAAAACTTGGGTGGCATACCTCTAAAAAGACAGGTTCAAATTTGTCAAGACCAGCGGGTTGTCAGAGCACCAGAGACAGCCAAGGTCCACCCCGCCCCCAGGCAGTTACAATGTGTACTCTGAGAGGTCAGCAGTTGGAAGGGACAGTCTCAGGCTGTCCCTCCCCGCCTGACTCCAAGCTCACTCCCTTCCCCCACCAGCCGCCAGCCGCCAGCACCAGCCAGCCAGCCAGCCGCTGTGACCTCCAGTCCATCATCTGCCATCAGGAGCAGCGTCTGCCTGCCAGTCACCAGGCCAGCACCAGCATTGCACAGGTAGAGGGGGAGGTGCTGGGACGATCCCACCCCGGGAAGGCCCCGAATTGCCTAGGTGGATTATTAGCTTGGAAATGTGGGGTGAAGATGGCAAACTAGCAAATGAAATGTCTGCAGGCGCGAAAGGGAATTCCTTATGCAACACAAGGAAGCGGCTGGAAAATATGCAAGCGTTCTCTTCACAGTTACTTCTGGTTACCAAATGTTACCCTCAAGGGACAGCTCCGAGGCAGATTAAGAGCTTGCAAGCCCGAGCTTGGTATTTTATCTGGGCCCGTTTTTAACCATCTGTTTTTGGTGTTTTAGTTTTGTTTTGTTTATTTTTTGAGACAGGGTCTCAATATGTAGCACAGGCTGGCCCTGAACTCAGTATGATCCTCCTGCCTCAGCCTCCCAAGCGAAGGGATGACAGCGTGTGCCACTGCATCCAGTTCTTACCATCTGTTGACCTGTGTGCCACTGCTCCTTAGAGATAAATGCAAACTTTAAATATTTCATTGAAAATCCCTTAGTGTTTATTCTTTCTCTTGCAATTATTTCTTTTTTTATATCTGTATTTAGTACAGGGTCTGCAGAGTCTCACTACGAAGATCCAACTCATAGTGATCCTCCTGTTTTTAGGGATGGAACCCTGGCCGCTGCCTAAGCAGGCGCTTTAGTTATCTGGCCGGCTCTCTTGCAAATATTTCATGCTAGGGTTTTTGTACCAGGGATCAAACTCAGGACCTTGTGCTTGCTAGGCAGGTGCTTACGCCACTGAGCTATCTCCCCAGCCCATATACTAGGTTTATTATGTTTTTCTCTCTTTTCATGGCATCTTCTAAAATTGTTTTGATGATCATGGTCTTTTTTTCTTTTTTCCTTTTCTTAGTTTTTGTACACTATACTGTTTTTGCATGCTAAATTTTTTGCATGCTAATTTGTTTTTGCATGCTCAGTTTTAATTGAATTTTTATTTTGATTCGTACATGTTTGTAGTACATCACGATTACATTCCTCATGGGATCGTTTCCCCCCCCCCCCGAACATCCAATTATACTAGGGAAATGAACTCAGCAGCGTAATCCCACCTGACACAATTCATCCCAGAGGAGCTGAGAAAGAACAGCGTATTTGCCTATCAGGCCTGGGAGAAGTTGTGCGGGTGCCCCCCCTCCTGGGCGTGTAAAATGTCTCACCGCAGAACACTGCGCATGTCTGCAGCTCACGGGCACCATGAGGGCGACCTCCAGCGCCGCACTGATCCTGGCCGTGGCGACATGGGCTGCAGCTGCCACAGGTAAGTAACAGCGTTGGCACTTTCACTTTCCATTGAAAGAAAGTTCAATTTCTTGATTTTTTTTTTTTTTTTTTCGAGCCAGGGTTTCATTGTGTCGTTCAGGCTGGCTTTGGACTCACTATGTAGCCCAGGCTCGAACTCACAGTAATGCTCCTGCCTCGGCCTCCGGGGTGCTGGGAGCACAGGCCTATGTCACCACGCCTGCCCGCAGTGTCCCTTCCAGCCGCGTCCCGAGAGCACTGTGGGCCCGAGGCTGCGCAGGCCAGGCCACAGCTCCAGTGCCCAAGCCTTCGGTGGCGGTGGCCACGGCGCTGTGGCTCAGAGGACCGCGCTGTCCCGGCACCTCCCCCTCCCCCTCTGCCCTCGCGCTCCTCGGCCTCGGCCTTGGCCTTGTCTCTCCTTTTCCTCTGCCCAGCGTGGCCAAGCACAGCCGCGTGCACGCAGCTGCGGAGTGCGACCCAGTCGTAGGGCAGCCCGGCGCACGCGGGGGCCTCGGCCGCAAGCCTGCACCCCTCTTCTGCACCACAGCTGAGCGTGGGTGCCCTGCGTGGCTGCACTGCCCAAACGCGTGGTGGGAACAGCTCGGCCGCATGGATGCCAGGATGCAAGCCCAGAGGCTGAGGAAGGAGGTTGCAAATTCCAGCGGAGTCTGGGTGTCTTAGCTACTTAGTGAGACCATGTCTCAAAATTTTTAAAAATTAAAAGGACTGGGGATGCAACTTGGCGCAGAAATCCTGGCTCCATCCCCGATGCTCCCCCACACGCATGCACACGCGCGCATGCACACTCACACACACAAAGTGAATTCTATGTGTATTGTAGCTCATAAAGCTGATAAGAGCTGATAACAATAGCATACATAAAATTATATGATACAACATTATTATATAACGTGATTGCATAGTATAACATATGTATGTATGTAT